GCATGTCACAGCCTTGATTTTTTTAAGCCAACCGTGTGGCCTTAGATGCTTGACACCTGCTTGCTTTGCACCTAAGTAAGCCTTCTTGGAAGAGAGTAAATAGAAATTCACACACACTTAAGATTTCTAGAGAAAAAAATAATTCTAGAGAGAGAAACTCCTGGAGAATGCTTGTTTTGTATTTACTTGGATAGTTTGGATAAATGAGACCCTCCTTTTTATATAGACTATAAGGAACATTCTAGAGATACATGGATGGAGAGGATTCTAGATCCTTCTCTCATCTTCTCAAGTATCCTATTCTAGAATATATAAGAATAATATACAAACTTCTAGAATTATATACAATGTTCTACCAATCTCTTGAGTGTTCTAGAGAATTCTAGATTAGTCCATTTAGCCTCAAATTTTATAGCCATTCTCTACGACTTTTTGCAGGACGTGATACTCTTCCCCATCTAAGCCGGTAATGTCCTCCTCGCGCCTTCTTCACGAAATCTTTGTATTTGTTCTTGGAATTGCCACAAAGCATTCGCTGGTTCCCAACTAGCCTCGCTTTTGGTAGTCCTTTCCACTTGACCAAGTATTCCATGCAAGGATTGAATCACTCGATCAGTCACCATGTATTCCACCTCCTTGTTATAGAGGTTACTATTTGTCGTCAGTGCTCGTGATGACTCTCCTCGGCTTGGGTCTTCCAAGTCGGCATGATAGGATTTCAAGTTGCGCACGTGGAAGACTGGATGAATTTTAAGTCTTAGAGGTAGCTACACTTGGTAGGACACCTTTCCCACCTTCCTTGTGATAGGGAATGGTCCTTTATATATCTGCACCAACCCCTTATACAGCTTCCGTAAAGACTTGAACTGTTGAGGCAATAGCTTGACTAGCACCAAGTCTCCGACTTGAAATTTCACCTTTCGTCTCTTCTTGTCAATCCACTTTTTCATTTTCTTGGATGCCTTGTCCAAGTATGTCCGTGCCACATCAGTCCAGTTATGCCATCCTTTAGCTATCTTGAATGCAACAGGGCTTTTCGCTGTATAGCCCGTCATCACCGTGTGAGGCGTCAATAGTTGTTGACCAGTGGCTAACTCGAAGGGACTGTCCTTTTTAATTTTTAATTTAATTTTTTTATCAACTAAATTAACCATTGCCAAACAGATAATTTTTTTGAGTTGAAATAACAAATAAAGGTTCATTTGAGAATTGACTTTTTTTTTTAATAATCTTTTGATATTTTATAAAAAGACATGAAAAAAATAAGGAAAATGAATAGACTTTATGTAATTGACTTTTGATTAATTTAATCACTTTCCAAATAAGACCTAAGTTATTGTCAAATATAACGATGATAATTGGTGTTTCAAATCTGACTTGACGAAATGGCCAATTTTTTTTTTTCTCTTTGTTTTTGGGATTCATAGGAATAGATAAAGTTAAAATATTGATCACAGAACCAAGATGGGAACCATTAGTCCCTCCTACAGCTGGCTTGGATCATGTCAGCAACTAATACAAATAAAATAGAACTTGGTGGATCTTCTAGGAACACCAGATGTTAACTGATCATTTGCATCTTAGGTACACTGATAATCATGCTTTTCCGTGATTTGTTAAACTGATCATCATGCTTTTCCATGATTTAGGTAAACTAGCCATCATATCTATGTTTTACACCTACTTTTGTACAAACAAAGATAGTGTACTTAGCCTTAAAGCACATGAAACAAACTGTTAGGTCTCTTGGGGTTGTCAATTCCATGAACAGACAGTTTGTAATGTAATCTAAAGCTTTGTTCTTACTTGGATCGCTTGAGCTTACAATTGGTCGCTCGAGTGAAGATGTGCAACTCTCAGTACTTCAATCAGACCTGCAAAAATACTGGGAGACTCAATTTTGTGCTCAAGTGAGATTTTCATTGCTCAAGCGAAGGCACTTGTGGATTGTCTGCGTACAAGACACACCGCTCGAGCGATTATTTTTGCGCTTGAGCGGTCACCGCAACCCTATTCCCTATAAAGTTGCGCAAAAGACTGTGTTTAGGGTTACAGCTTCCAAATCTACATCCTGAGAGTTTGTGATTGCTTTTGAAGCTTTTTTACTTGTTTCCCTTGATGTCTTTGTGAGATTATCTCATGAGTTAAGTTGATTACAATAAGGGGGTTGTTTGATCATTCTATTCAAAGAGAATTTGATTGGTGGATTCCGAAGGTTCGAGCGTGAAGGCTTTGAAGGAGTTCGAAGCGGCTCGTTGTCGTGAATTCAACATGAGTGTTGTGGATTCAACATCAGGCTAATCAATTTTGAGACGAAAGCGTTGGTGAAAGTGGCACAAGTAGTGGAAGACAATTTTACAGGGGGTTTGGTAAATTGTTGGGTAATCTTTTGTATTTTCATTCTTCATAATGGATTGATTAGTGACGTTTCCCCCATAATTTTTTTTATTACAATTGGAGATGCTCAAATTGTAATTTTTTTCATATAAAAATTGTTTGTGTCGATTTATTAATTGTGAAACAATAATCTAAATTACTTTCGTACGTGTTAAATGGTTTAGATCATTAATTTTGATTCTTTGAAATTATTGCAATTTAATCTATTTTGAATTATGAATCAAGTAGGTTTTTCACAAACAAATATGGTTATGGTTACAAAATTAACTCATTTTGGACGGCACAAAATTTGTATAGTCAGGATTTACGGGAGCAGTCCCCAACCATTACATTATTATTATTATTATTATTATTATTATTATTATTATTATCATTATTATTATAATGGTTTCACACTACAATGTAATATTGGTAGTAGGTAAGAGTCGTAATTACATTACCAAACAATTCAGTTGTGTCATCAAACACTCAAATTATTTTAATAACTTCGAACATCACTCACTCTCTCTCTCTCTCTCTCTTACCTAATGTGTTTGATTTGTCAAATATAACCATTTGGTTGTTAATGGAGGTTTCGGATTAGGACCAAGAACTAGATAAAAAATAAGTTTATGAACATAAAAGTAACCACATGTAGTGCAATTTGAATCAAATTGTATCTTTTATGATGGATTTGCACAATCTAAGTGACACTATATACTATACGCTAGATTGACACAATCTAAGTGAAATCATATCATTTGTTAGTGTATATTAGTGTATCATTATGTAGTGCATTATCATGTTAGTGTAGCATTATGTTAGTGCATTATGTTAGTGTAGCATTATCATGTTAGTGTAGCATTATGTTAGTGCATTATGTTAGTGTAGCATTATGTTAGTGCATTATGTTAGTGTAGCATTATGTTATTGTTCATAGGCATCCAAGGCATCCTCTATAAATAGAGTGCCTTCTTTGTGTAATAGACATGTACAATTCATAGAAACAATTGTGCCTCTCTCTCTCTCTCTCTCTCTCTCTCTATTCGCTCATCTCTATCTTCTCTCACTTTCTCCAATTATTATTTCATCATTTGTGATGAATTTCATCATGTGATATGAATGGTTAAGATAATTTTTATGGTTAGTTCTGTGATTAATTATACGTCCATAGTCCTGTTGAAAAAAATAAAGTGTGTAATTTAAATTCATTCTAAGATAGTGCTTAATTCAAACGAATAACTATGGAATAGAACAGAAAGATCATTCATTATTCTAGACCAATTTTTTTTAATTTAGGTAATTGGAATTCACTATGACCTGGCAACAACATAGAATTTAAATTCACTATGACCCAGCAACAACATAGAACTTTGACCTGTTTGGGAGCTTCTAAGTTCTAACGTAAACATGTTGCCTTGGCAAGCTGGCTGCAACAACTCTTTCGTGGCATCATCAGTGATAAAAATATATATATATTTAATATTTATTTTTAATCAAACTAATTTCTATTTATTTCAAAAAAAAATCATCAAATATTTTTAAAAATCATACCAAACATGGTCAAAAAAGTTATTTCAATGTTGTTAAGACATTATCCCAACAGTTTTAAGAGCCATACAATAAGGCGTGACAACAACCTTCACTCAAGTACAAGTATAGTTTTGATATAATTTAATAGAACTTCAAATCCATACCTGCCCTTTGGATCCATGATGAAGTATTGATATTTCAGATATTTCAGATATTGTTATCACAAAACATTTTTTTATTTTCTTTTTGGCATCTTCTGACTGGCCCTATTCTCTGCCCTCTTACTGTATGTGGGCCCCTGTATTTTTAGCCTCTATCTTCTACTTGCTCTATTTTTAGCCTCTATCATGATAATGAAAAGGACCTATTTTCTTAGGAATTTCTAAGTATTAAGGGAACAGTTCTGATTTTGTTTAGTTTAAAGCTACTCAAATCAAATCCATAAAAATATGTTTGAAAGTCTCATGTTACTCAAACCCTGTACATTCTGTTTTTGAAAACAAGATTTTATGATACATAAATCAAATCCTCTCAATTAGAATTGCAAATTAATCAAAATGTTCATGTTCTCATTTAGCTAAACTTGTTTGAGTTTTGAATGGTTTGTTAAATGAACCAAATTTTTAGACTCGCTTAGTATCCGAGCCAAGCTCAAGTAAAGCTAAACTCGACTCTAATAGGCTTATGAACACAATTATATATTAATATATATTTTTAATTATACATGAATATAATTTCATTTATTTATTTTATTTCTCTATTTATGCCTGGTGTTTGTTCAAATTTATTTGATTTATGAAATTTATTAATCATATGAGCACATTTTTATATTTTTTCTCCATAAACTTCTTCTGCTACTTATTCTTTTTAATAGGCATATTAATTTAGGTTTTAATTTTCTTTTCAAGCTTAAGTTTGACTCGTTTATATGGTTGAGTTGATTTGAATTGAGCTTGGGTTTGTGAAATATTTGGCGAGCCGAGCTTAAATTCGATTCTTTAAGCTCAATTTAAGCTTGCTCGGCTCAATTCGAGCTAGACTAATTTTCAGTAAGTCGAGATCGTCCTACTTTAAATGCCATGAAAATTGAACGGAAATGCCAAAGTTGGCCCAACTATGCTGCCAGCATTTTCCTCACCGACGATTTATTCATCTTCATCTAGTAATTCAATAGCTATTCATAACTAAAAAATTTATATCTGTCATCAAATGAAGCTACAAGATACAGTTTTGGAAGAGAACATTCCATCAGATAAAACGTGGGATTTTTTAATTGGTCTCCCTTGAATCCTTCCAACAAAAAGCAATCGAATAATTTATTCAAATTGATGAGAGGATTGAACCAAGCTGTTACAACATTGACATTGTCACAAACTTTCAATATTTTAATTCATTTAAGGTGTCTTATTTATATCAAGAGTAGTTGGGCTTATTTCATCAGAAGATTGAACTCATTTCGACAAAGGATTCGCTCACAACACAATCGGATGGCTTCTTTTGCGATGGAGGATTTTGTTGGGAATGGAGCTCTGAAAGATTTGCTTCCAAAGCTGTTAGAAGAAGGTTGGGATGATGTACCGACCTTGAAGGTTATGAATTCAGAGGATATGGATTCAATAAATATGACTCGACAACAAAAGGTTGTTTGTTTACTATCAAACCCATGTCTTTAATTTTCCAGACCCAGTATTGGTTATCTAGCAATCGTCTTTAGTCTATTTCTTTTATCTTATGATCACTTTGATATTTTCATGATCATCTCTTTGATGAAACTATTCTATACTTTCTCAGAGGAAATTTTTCTAAAGAGTTTTTCCTTAGAAAAAGAAGATTTCAAAGAATGATCAATCATATTCAATTTTCTTGATACTTTCTCACAGGAAATTTTTCTAGTTCTTTCTTTCTCAAGAAAAAGAAGATTTTAAAAATGATCAATCATGTTCATGTTTCTTTGTCACCAAGTTTCTAGGGGCTTGCCATATCATCAATTAGACTCCTATTTTTTTCTCTGCCCCTCTAATTTTTTGGTGTATTACTATTAACCAACATCTAATATATTGATTCTGCTCTACTTCTGAAAAAATTAAATTCATCAAAACAATCTATGACCTCTGAAGGCTCTTCATGGTTGTACTCTAGGATGCAATGGAAATAAGGTCATACCTGCACGATCGGACTCTGATGCAATATGGAGACCAGCTAGAGATCTCTGGGAAATGTCTTCCTGAGCTTCTTGGCTTAAGCGCCGTGGATCTTTCAGCTCAGTTTGGCATGAAGAGAGGCCACATCGCTCGTTTCATGGACAGATCCAGTCCATGTGAAGCAGATCCTTTGCCGGCACTCCCTCCAAGACAAAAAAATCCTGCACCTTCTAGAGACAATAGCATTTACAAGAGTGAGCTTAGTTCTCTCAACACGAGAAAAATGCAGATTATGATGAGATCGTTTGGGAGAAATAGTAACAAAAGTGAAGTACCAGTTGAGCAGACACTGGCTGATTTGAAGATCAAAGAAGGGCATATCTTTAAAGGTATTGTGGCTGCTGCTCCAGCTGAGTCCAGAGCATGTGGCTGTGTAAAGGCTCCCCCAATAGTTGAAAATGTTGCACCGTACTCTGCAATTGAAAACATCTTGATTCAGAAACTTACTCCGGAGTATAAGATTGGGACACAGCGTTTGGTGAAAACAAAGACTCCCCCAATGAAGGCTATGGAGCTATGGCGTGAAAAACCAGCTGTACTCCTCTGCATCAGGAGACCAGGGTAACTTACCCTCCTCTGCATCTAGGAGGTCTATCTGTTTTACCTCCTAGATGTCAATCTTTAGAAAAATCTAAAATGAAGCACATGCAGTAACAAAAATCACAATAACAGTACTCTTAATGCCTAGACATTGAAAAAAAAAATCCGAATATTAGAGTACATGGAAACTTACATAGGACACCTTTTATTTGGGCTATGTTTCTCTGTTTGGATGGATGGATTCCAAATGAAGTATATGAAGGATTTGAGGTTGAGTTTTCTAAAAATATACGAGATTAAGTTTCAATAGGTGGATTAAGAAACTAAAGAGGAATATAAATTAGAGATAGACAGTATTTTATTATGATCCTTGTAGAACTAGAATCAATAATTTCAAATAGCTACTTTTACGTTGTTATTTCAAATCCATCATGACAAATCTCTCAAATTCAATCTTGAAATCCATATCTATACTATCAAATCTAAATTTTAGTTATTCTCCTTGAATGGGTAGTGCCAAATCATTCTATTTCAAATTCATTAATTCAAACGTAATCTAAATGTTATGACAATGAAAAAATGCTCTGCTGGCATTTGGAAGAAATGGTACTCTTAAAGAGACACTAACATCTGACATTATAGTTTGTTTGTTTGTTTGTTTGTATTTTTGCTCTTTTCTTTTCTTTTTTTTTTTCCATAAGAAATGTGAATCAATATCATTATAATTGTGTTCTTTACATGTGTATCGAAAACAGGTGCATCATGTGCAGAGCTGAGGCCCACCAACTTTATGTAAAAAAACCAATATTTGATGCACTTGGGGTTCAATTATATGCAGTTATTCACGAACACATAGAGGCTGAGGTATCTCACTAACTCTTTTAATTTATTCTCCTTTCAATCAATTTTGGATTGTTTATGAAAAACAAGTATGAAGCCCTTCCCTTCTGGCTTTGATGGTTCCAGGTTAATGACTTCTGGCCTCGATATTGGGGTGGTGTTGTACTCTACGACAAAGGCATGGAATTTTTCAAAGCTCTTGGTGGCGGGAAGCTGCTCAAGGACAAGTTCATATCAGGATTTCTGTTCAACCCTCGAGCTATTGCAAATTACAAACGGGCAAGAGCAATGGGAGTGGAGCAAAATTTCAAGGGCGAAGGTGAAATAAAAGGAGGACTGTTTATAGTTGGCAAAGGAAAGGAAGGAGTGGAATTGCATACCAGTTTATAGAGAGAAATTTTGGAGACTGGGCGCCTTCTACTGAAATCATTGAGATCTGTACTCAGTTATAGGTAATTTATAAATCACTGACACTTCAAAATAGGTGTTGTAGTCATGTTGGACATATATGGGACATAGACAAGGCAGGGACACATATGGGACAAGCCATGTGGCATGTTTGGTTTTTAATAATTATTTTTAGGGGGCATGGCCGGGATACAACAAGGACTTGTTTTGATTTTTCAAAACTAATTTCGCGAGTCATATTATAATATTTGAAAACAGAAGATTGAAAACTCATATCAAACCATTGACAATGCAACACAAATCAATCATAATTGTGGAGTTAAGCGACTAGCTTCTAACGATCCCTAGAGCCCAACGCAACACAAATCTCGTCTTTGGCTAATTTAAATTTAGTTTTTATATTAAATTAGAGTTAGTTTTATTAATTTTGATTTTTTATGGATTTAATATTTATATAAAGAGCAAACAAAAGTATATTATTTGTCGTATCCCTGCCATGACTTTGTCCTTTTTCTTTTCTTGAAATCACCGTGCCATGTGTCCCGTGTGTCCTGTGCATACTTTCAATAATCCGGAACTGCAGCTTCTCTCCTGTAAAGATTCAATTCAAGTTGGCCTTTCTTCCTCCTTGTGCAGAATCTACAGCCAAGTCCGAGCGGGACAAAATCATCACAAGAGTATGAATAAGTATGGACCTTTTTATTCTTCCAAGTATGTTGCAGACTTAGAATTTTCAAATAACTTATCTTCATTGTAATCTAGCATATTTAGAGAACTGATTGTTTAATTCTCTTGTTGTATTTACAATAATAGATATTTGCTTGTCATATATATTCTAGCACATTTTAATTTTTGGTCTCCATGGAAACTTATGTATTCATTGATCTAGTGAAAAAGTAGACTCTTACCTTGTCTCAAAGTACTCCACCAAAGGCATATCGATTAATTTCAGCATTTTTAAGCATGCATGCCCTCCATTCAGATTAGCTGATGACCAGTTCATCGATAGAATTACCAGAGAGGCTTCCTTTATATCCCAGTCTTGTTTCGACACACCAACTAAATTTTACTGTAAGATATTGCCCGAGATCAAACCTAGAATCGAGTTTTAATCTCATAGTAATGTTTGTTGCAAGTGTTGTTGCAAAGATACTAGCCATCTACTACAGCTTCCATGGGAAATAAATCCGATTTCTCAAGCGAAAAGGGTGGGAATACTTAATGAGACACATCATACTGATTCAAAGGTTTCTCATAATGCCCTCATCATCAAATTTAAACACTCAGCAAACCTTCTGATCTCATTTTCCTAAACATTACAATTCTGCCTTCTCTCTCCAGTCCATTTGAGTCCATAAAATTGAATCATTTTCAGGCAGACCACAAAACTTTTTCTTCAAGTCATCAACCATCCCACATCTCAAAACATCCATAATCATCATACTACATACATAACCAGAGACTTCTCACGGGTAATTCAACAAAAAATTCGCATTACATCAATAATTAACCTGGTATTGGAGTACTTATCCCACAAAATACATAGGACCCAAAACCAAATTTCACTTTTTGACGATGAATTTGCCTACCCAAATCATTGATGACAGCACAAGCATTATCGAGAATGTAATCCGATTCAAGTTCATGTGTCCATCCTTCAACACCAACTTATAACCCCAAATAACCAAATTCCAAGAAACCATCTTGACGTAGCATTTGATTGATGCTCTCTTTCATTTTGGAAAGCTAGCCAGACTTCGAGTATGGGGAGAGGATGGTGTTTTATGAGAAGAGGTTTGGTTGAGGAATTTGGTCGAACACATGACGTGCATAAGTTAAATTGTCCAATTTACTACCTATGGTGATGAGATTGTTCTAGAGAAAAGTATGTGTCATGGCTTTGAGTGGCAATGAAGCTTCTTTGCTCGTATATCTGGTAATGGGGAAATTATACAATACTCCTGAAACTTCATGTGGTCATATTTCAAACCAATCACCAATTACTTAATCCCATATTGTACCCCCACCCCCAACATAAATTATGGCCCCTACCCCTCTCCACCAATCAAAACCTTATGGAGAACCACGTGTCCACACTCCGAGAGTACTGAATAATTACCCTTGGTAATGGGCTTTGAAATAGAGTTTGAGTAACGATCATTAGCAGCATCAAAAAACTGTTAACTTACTGGGAAAGTTAAGCATATTAACTTGCTCATGGGCGGCCCAGGATGGACCCGACCCGTTTGGGCCTGGGGCCCAGCCCGAGTCCCTGGGCTAGGGTCTGGGCCATCATTTTGAAGCCGGGCCTCAAACCTAGTGTCTTTTTAGTAAAAAATAATAAATTTTTAGTTGAGACAACTTTTAAAAATTTTAAAAAATGATCAAACCCACCCAAGCCCGAAAACCAGGCCCACCGAACTGACCAGCCCAAAGTCCGAATACCACTGGGCCTAGGACTAGGCCTAATTTTTTTGACTCGTGGGCCTGCCCAACCCAGCTTGAATTTTGGCGGGAACTCGTGAAACCCGACATAAGTCAGGCCGAGCTGAGTCGGACCAAATTTACACCCCCAATTTGAGGGTAGACATAAGGAAAGCCCTATCAAATTTACGAAACAAAATAAATAGATATATTGTCCATTACGCTAGTACAGCTTGTTTTTCAAAAAACATCACCAATACATTTGGTATTACAAATGAATAATGACGTAACTTTTTCATTTTTTTTTTCCCAGAGGATTTATAGAGATTCAGCCCGACTAATTTCCAAATACATACAATCCTTCTATCTCTGATAAATAAAAAAATTAACTATTAATTCATCTTTTTAAGGCTCGAGCTCATAACTTCTTACCTTGGAGACATAAACTTTGTCTAACTAATACAACTTAATGAATTGTCACGTTGAAACACGTTCACAGTGGTTACATATTTTTTTTTTTTAAAAAAAAAATTATATGAAACCAATTGTATTAATAATTATGAATATATCACATTAAATGATAAACAAAAATGTGATAAAAAATATATACAATTATTCTAATATTATTGATAATTAAATTTGAATACCATAGCATTAACAAAGGCAGAGTTTTTATACTAATTTGGCTAATTTATCCATTCATTGCAAACCAAAATACCCATCAATTTAAAATTACAAAAATGTTATTTATAGATAAATTACATTTTTTTTAATAGCATCCTCGACTTGGTCATAATTAAGAGCAAGTCAGCAAAATCTAACAGACCCCTTGTTTTGCTTTGTAGACACACTCCACCCCGTGTCCAGTAAATATTGGAAGATGACTTCAGTGGTTTATGAAATTAATTAATTGTGTATTCATGTTTTTTTTTTCATTTTTTGTGCCTTTTTATCCAAGAAAATTCTCAATTATGAAATATCAAACAAAATCAGCAAGGTTTAACCCATAACTAATCCTAAAAAAGATATTTCCCGAAAAATAATAATAAATACTCCTAGGAAGAAATTTATGAAGTAAACATGAATAAAACCTCACATTCATTGGTCAATATATAATTAACATATACATCTTCAAACTTCTCCCTTCCTAAATTGAGCAAGTACACTTCTATGGTTTCGACTCCGATCTCCTTTGAAACCCCATCCCAGACAAATACATGTAAGTTAGAAACACAACCACCATATTTCAACTTCCTCTACAACATATCAATTGATTTTGTTGAGTAATCGACACCTTCAACCCACAAATCCTCGCCCATCAAACAATTCTCTTGAGATAGAATGAATTAGAACTTTTTGGTAGCATTTATATTAAAGCTCAAATGGAGAAACAATGGAGACTGGCACTGAAAGACACAAATTCAAAGTTCGACTTTCATATGCTCTGGTGGCGTAGACCCTGCAAATGGGAACAGAGTCATTACCTCTGACTCTTCTTGGACTGTGTAGAGGCTAGTGTGGGAAATTAAGGAGTCGACATACCAGTTAAATCTTGGCTGTCGAGTGGAGCACTGGAGTTAAAGCCCATATGGACAACATTGTGAAGCTCATCCTCACCCCACATGTTGGGTACCTGTAGACAGATACATAAAAAAGGGAGGGTAATTGTCATATCAAAAAGATAAATAGCAGTTAGTACATTGAAATGATGAAGTTTCATCATAAGCCCATTTGAAACTCAGCCAACAATGAACGATTCTAGAAGGGAGGGAAGAGGGCCTAAATATTCTATTTCTCCTTGGATGCAGAATTTTTAGGAGGGTTTTTCAGAGATCTCTCATGTATTAGAAGTTGGGAGCATGCTTGTTAGAATCATACGATTCATGATTCGATACGAATTTCAACCAAAACGATTTGAATCGTGCTGTTGAATCTTATGATTCAATTTGCAACCCACTATGGTTCATTGTGATTCAATTTTATTTTTACTTTTACTTACATAATGCATGAAACAACACCGTTCTAGCTTCTCTATCAAGATATAAAAAGAAATCAATTAGTTATATTGATATACATGGTTTTATATGTATATACAAATATATAATCAATTTATATTAATATTTTTTCATTTTATACATGCATAAATTATATATTATATTAAATAAAGTGAATCTTATGATTCTCGGTTCGAGTTTTGAAATAACAATGGTAGGGAGACCAACACTGCCCTCGCAAAGAAATAAATAAATAAGAAATAAGTAGGAAAAATCAGGCTTGAACCTTCATGTTACATCAAACAAAAGCACGGGGAATGTTTTGAGTTTTAAAACAATTGAGGTTTTGCAAATCTACCTGAGTAGGCTCCTTGTATCCTCCACTCATGGCTGCTAATTGGGAATTAAGTGATCTCTGAAGTGCGTCCAAAGAGTTTGACATGCCAGGAAGGCCTGTCTGGGTCAATCCTGGTTGGGATGGAAGCAGAGAAGGAAAGGGCATAGTCATATCGGGTGAATAACCTAGCGTACATGAAGGACCAGCTTGTGACTGAAGAATCTGCAATGAAGAAGAATGAAATTTCCAGAGGTCAAAACAGATAAAGGCAAATCAATTTGCATTGTACTATGTGGAGTGTCTCAGTGCAGAATCAATTACATCTTTTGCAAGGAGCCCTTCAACATTAAAGTCCAGGCGTGGATTAACTGTTGCAAGCTTCATAGACAGAAACTGAAAAGAAGAGTTGCACACATCAGCCATCAGCTCATTAGAAGCACATGAAATTTCAGAAACATGAGTAGCAAATATGAGAATTTAAGTTTTTTTTTTTGAAGCTGTACAATAAACTAACATATAAATTATAATGAGTGCCCAAAAAGCTTGAGGTAGCGAATTCTGAAAGAGTGGTTATGATTTATCTCCTACATTAAAAGAAAAAGAAAAAGAAAAAAGCCTCTTTGGAGAAGATAGTAGAAGCTATTTTGCTGTTCTATTCAAATGATCTGTGTCAAAAGTTACATACAAGAGTAGCATAAAGTGAAGTAGTTCAAAGGAAAGACGATTTACAAAACTGAAGTGTCTGTGTTGCACAAACAGCCAAGGCAATTCAAAGGCAATAACAACACATAAAAATTAAGAATAACTAGCGTGAAAAATGAAAAATAAGAAGATTCAATGATCATACCTCAACCTGTCGTTGTAGTGACTGCACATAGTTAATGATTTCATCAAGCATAACTGCCTTTCCCGTGACCTGAAAAAAACAACCAATTCTCATGAAATAAGCTGTAATAACTAATAATAATACTATACTCTACTGAGAGTTCCACCTATGCTACATGGATACTCCTAAATTTGTGAATTGCGAAGTACCCATGTTAGATACTTGACATTTGGGTTAGGGTATGTGTCAAACATGTCTTAGACATGCATCCTACAAACATATCACAATTTATTATGAAACTATGCATAAGACTCTCATTGTATGCATAAAAAAAGCTCTACACTAGTTTGTAAATTCCATTCTAACCTAAATAAATGAAAGATATATTTAAGAGAGATGAAAATTTAGTTGTGCCCTAGTGTCCTTGGGCATGAGAATTAGATGAACACAAATGCAACCCGACACCAATACCCAAAACCATGATACATGGGTACACACTAAGCTGTTTAATTCCAATAAACCAACCTTGCTGCAACCAGGAACAATGTCCTGAAGAAGCTTCATCCTTTCACTGATCTTTTCCCTTCTAACCTGTCATCCAAATCAATCAATTCAAACAAAGACTAAGATAAATTGTTTGCTCTGGCTGAAAGCAGAACCTTCATAAGAGTCTTACTCTTTCTGCAAGACTGTGGCTGTTAGTTGCCTGGCCTCTTCGTGCTCTAACATGTATGTACTCTTCCTTTGGTGAATCCGAAGCTTGAGACCCCTGTTTAACATGTTTTCCACTAGGCTTGTTGGTTGTTGAAGTTGGGGTTTGATCTCCCTTTCGCTGAATTTCAGTGTTATCCTTTGTAGTTTCATTATCCTACACCACATAAGAACAAAAATAATCAATAAGAAAAAAAGATTTGAATCACTTGTTACTGCTCAAATAAAAAACAGTAATTCTAGTTACATAGAAATCAAATGCAGAATGGATGGATAGGATTCTTTAAAAGTAGGTCTCACCAACAAATCTTGCAAAATCTTGTCCATTAATGTGTTCCTAGCATTGTTCAATGAAAAACAACTGTAAATGGGGCTATACCTGACTACTTCTCTTCCTTTTCTTCAAACCGACTGCTTTGGAAGAAGAAGGCTCCTCTTCACCACCACCACCACCACTGAATTCGGCTTCATCAGAATCGTTACCGGACACACCAACACCTAGTTTTGCTTCATCATGAGACCGCAAAATGCTCTCGCTCTTCCTCTCATTCTTGAGTGGGCTCCCTTCAGTAGCCCCCAATTCAACCGACATAGAAACATCTTTGGAAGCTTCAACCATGTTCACCTCATTTTTCTGGGATTGCCCACTAGATACAGATTTCAACCCATTTCCCACAAATACCTCTTGCATTCGTTGCATCACCGATGATGCACCCCTAGCATAAGGATTCATAGATTCAGGAATACTAAAAGGGTTCATCATATCACCAAAATTCCCCCCACCAAAGCACGAGAACCTCGCCGCTCGCTCAATGAAACCAGAATCAGATGGAAACTGAGACAAGCTCTGAGGAATCATTCCAGGACCAGTTGGTAAAAACATACCCCCTTTCACCGTTGAATTTTGTGGAGCCCAACCCATATCAAGTGTTCTCTCAATACTCAGAGGGCCTTTTCTAAATCCCAGTGTGTTTGAAGCGCCAGCACTGCTCTGCAAATTAATGTCACTGAAACCCAAGTTTTGGGTATTGGTGGGGTGGTCCCAAACTGTTGTTGGGCAGAATGAGGGGCCAGAGGAACAAGAAGGAGACTCCATTACATCTCCTTTACAAACTGCCATGGGATTGGTTGTAGGAATTGATCCCATCGATGAATTTGTGAGATTGGATCCGCCAATTGGCCAGTCCGAGGACAAATTGGTAGAATGGTAGTTCCTAAGATCTTCATTCCTTTTTTCCTGTTGAAAATGATCAGTGCCACCCATATCCATTTCTCCTCAACAGAATCGTAAAAGTAGCCAACCAAGAATGGAGACCCCCAAAAGCCTAATTGCCCTCTTAAAGTTGTCTCACAAAAAATGGTGACACCAAAAGCCCAATTGTTCAATAGCCTCAACAAAGATTAAAGACCTAAAAAAATAAATAAAAGAGTGGAAGACATCATGAATAACTATATCAACCCATCAAAAATAATTAGAACTCTTAAAAGACAGTGGCAAGTGTGACAGTTTTTTTTGCCCTTCTTAAGAACGTAAATAAACCCATAAACAAAGAAAGAAACTATACAAGTTGTCTAAGCTAGACACAAAGAAAACAGCTAAGAAGTACTTTGTGTGACCCACATCAATTCATGAGCAAAAGAGGGGAAATCTGAAGCATTAACACAAAAACAAAAACAAAAACAAAAACAAAACCAAGTACCAAAATATGTCCAAAGATCACACAATTATACACTGCTATTTCCAAAGTTATCACTGAATTTGTAGTCGTCCTCCCAAAATTACATAAGAGAATCCCCCAATGACCCCTCAAATAAATAAATAAATAAAAAAAACCCAGTTCAGTAAAGGGCTCATAAAGTGTCCAGAAGCAATTAATCAAAGAAAAAGCATTGATTTCAGCATCATAAATGCACATTCAAAGAAAACCCTAGTCAGAGTAACAGACCCCTCAGCTCTGAATCAAAGAGAGAGAGAGAGAGCAGACTAAAAGTGGGAAGAGAAAGATACCCATTTTTAGATTCTGTACTACTTTTGGTACTCCATCCACCATTTTGATGCTTTTGCACTGATGAGAACTTTTATTGAACTTGGGAGGGACTTTGTTCAAACCCTACTGTTTTTAGCTCAGCCCAACTGGTGTGTACTGCCAATGTTTGATGCCACCAAGAGAAACAATCTTGAAATAGAGATGGAGAGAGAAACAGATCAGAAAGAGCTTCTGGAGGACAGTACAAACAGAGAAACTAACAGGGAAGAGAGAGAGAGAGAGAAAATCAAAAGTAAAATTAAGGGAACTAAGAGAGAGAAAGAAAAGAGTTAAGAGTAAAGGTCCTGCATTTATACCCACGCCTACTTAGGCTTCGTTTGGCGTAATTTTTTTTTTTTTTACTATTTTAGTCAAAATAAAATAAAATATCATATTTAAATAATAATTATTTTATTTTTTTCCATAAAAATTTAAAAATTCAAAAAAATTATTGCAAACAAAAATTTTTAATTCTAAATTAAAAAATAATCCACATCTCAAACAATGCTTAGCCTCTGTTTGTAAAGTGAGTTGACTTTTTGGCTTTTTTTTGGCTATTTTAGCCTGAGCTAAAAAGCTTGGTTTGAGAAGAATTTTTTGACTTTTTAATTTTTTTGACTTTTTTTGTGAGAGGAGAGTGTAATAATTATGGATTGAATGTGATGTTTTGTTTGTTATGACTAAAATAATTTATTTTATCTTTTATGACTAAAATAACCCGAAACTAACTTGCCAAACCGACCCTTAAAAACATAGGGCTCTTGATGTTTAACCACCGCCACTGCTACTGTCAAATATATTATTACATTTAAATTTTTTATTTTATTTGTATAAAACCTACCTTAGCTTCGCTTTACCACTTCATGTTACTATTATTTAATTTATGCTCATTTACTTTTCTTCTTACCTTTGTTTTCCTAACTATTTTAATCTTTATATTTTATTTAAGTCTTATTAACAAGTATTTTAAGGCCCAACAATCAATGAAAAAGGTTTAAAAAAACATGTAATTTTCATTGAAATTAATTTTTTTGTTGAATTTAAAAAAAAGTGCAAATTACAAACACTCCCTTCAAGGTTGGGTGAAAATATAAATTCCTCCATGAGATTTAAGAAATTATAAATTGTCCCCTGAAGGTCAAATTTGCATAACAAATTAGGAGAGAATCTGTATGAAAATAAAAACTTCAGGGGGCAATTTGTTATGAAAATATAAACCTCAGGGAGCAGGATGTAATTTCTCAAACCTCAGGAGAATTTGTATTTTCACCATACCTCGAGGGGGTGTTTGTAATTTGCCCTAAAAAAATTAAAATATTTTTCACCTATTCTCGAGACACTATTAATCCTAATCAAGATATTAATTTCTTTAGGTGGAGTTTGATAATTATTATTTTTTTTTTTTTTTGGCTTTTACTTCAACTTTTCTTTTAAAAAAATTCAGAATATTTTACATATTCTACTAACTTAGATAGATTTGAAAAAAAAAAATCCTCCTGCACAAATGAACCTGACAATAATTTTTTTAACACAAATCTAAAAAGATTTCATTGAAAACAAAAACATTATAAAAAAAAAAACTTTTGTAAGTATTCCCAGCAATAGCTTTATTAGCATTTGTCAATTTATTTTTATTAACAATAATAACAACTTGAGGGAGCAACTCCACTGCCAGCCAGCCCTCATTTGAGATTATTTTTATCAAACATTACATAATAATCCTTGGGAGCAGAGCTTATAATCTTTATTAAGGGTTTGTTGGGTCAACACCCAATTTTCACACTACATTTAGCTTTCTCAGTAAATTCTGAGATGTATAATTGTCTTGTCTATTTATCTTTATGTGATAACTTGAGTTCCGTATCCAAGTTGTTTGTTTTGATGTTTGGAAAGAATTTTGTTAATTTTTAAAAAATATAATAAATAGATTTAGATTTGTAACAGAGTAATGGTTTCATATATACAGATTTCTTTAAAATTTCATGAATATTCAGTTATTTGCCCTTCCAAATTTATTTTCTTCATTGTGGTCCTTTCAATTTTTTTATTTTATTAGTGTACTCTCCAATTCAATAATTTTAGCTCTGCCCCTAGGAAAAACAGTGATATTTTATTATTTAAAGGTAGTTAGGTTATCATAGATCTTGATCATTTCCAATTAATACATAGAGTGGAAATTTCATTCTATTTTATAAGATTGAAACAAATAATTTTTTGTCAAAATGTAAAAATTAACAGTGTGGGTGTTTGGTAAGTTATTATTTTATGGTTAGTTTGGGAAGTGGGTTAGCTTTTTGGTTTTTTTAGCTATTTTAGCCTGGGCTAAAAAGCTTGGTTTGGGAAGGGCTTTTTGACTTTTTGACTTTTTTTGTGAGAGAATAGTGTAATGATTATGAGTTAGATGTGATATTTTATTTTTTGTGACTAAAATAACCTATTTTGTCTTTTGTGGCTAAAATAGCCAAAAAAACACCTAACCCAACTTGCCAAACGGAGGCTTAGTAGACTATTTTAATTTTTAGCTATTTTAGAAGGCTAAAATTTTTATATTTGGAAAGATAGTTTGATTTTTTTTGTAGTTAGATGTGATGTTTATGAGAGAAAAAATAAAATAATTATGGATTTGATGTGACATCTTGTCTTATTAACTATTTTAACTTATTTTATCTTTTAGTACTATTTTAACTAAAAAAACTAAAAAGCCTTCTTCCCAAACACTCCGATTATATAACTACCAAATAAATATTCTTAGCCATCTTAATCTAGTTCCTGGTTAGAACAAGACAAACAAGCTTTTAATACTTGGTTAAGCAAGAGATTACTCTCCTATATGGAAGAAGATGAATCACATTAACAACATTTCTTATCTCAAGGTGATTAGGTGACTATTGTACAAATATTAAAAGTTACAAATCTTAAATCCTAACAAGTCAAGCACATTATTTAATATTAGAATTTACATTAAAAAAATATTTTAAAAATAAATAAAAATGTAAACAAATTTTAAAATCAACAGGAAATTATTAAAATCATATCTTTTAAATATTATATTTTTTTATACTTTAAATGTTAAGAACATTTATTTATAAGATCGTTTAAAAACTTCTATTTGAACAGAGATGGTGATTCACATTGGTTAGTGGTTATAACTCACTTTCAGAAAAAGAAAAGTCCAAAAACATAGGGCTTGTTTGGTTTGTATCTCAAGATATAATTTTCGAAAAAAAATTAAAAAATTTTGTTTGGTTCAGATTTTTGAAAAAAAAATTTAAAATCACTCTCTCAATCACTTTTTCTCTCTCATTTTTGTTTCTCAATTATTTTTTCTTTTACACGCATCTACTCAATTACAACAAAATATCAAATCATTCCAAACTTCCAAACTCCAAAACTATTTTCAAAATATATAACCAAACAAACAAACAAAAAAAATTCAACTATCTCCTCAAAATTTTTAAAAAAAAAATTTCTCAAAACACAAACCAAATACACTCAAAAAGTTCTAAATATAAAATACACAGATGTGACATATATTCATTCATAATTACAGACACAAATATTTTTCATCTCACAGTTATATATATTTGTATTTAAAACTTTATATATTCTTAACCCAGTTCTTTTCACAAATCTTAAACTTTTGATCACACAACCAACTTACTGACAAAAAAGATCACTTAGGGATGTTTTGAGAAGATGGTTAAAAGCTGACTTTTAGTTTTTTTTTTTAACTTTTTGGTTTTTTTTTTTTTTTTTGGTGAGAAAAGAAATGGATTAAAAGTTAAAAAGTGACTTTTAACCCACCTCTCAAAATAGGCCTTAGCCAACTCCTCAAGGGTCAAACTGCCATATTTAATGCTCTTTAACATATGTTCCTTAAGTAGTGTAGATCTAAACTTGTTTGTAGCTAAATTTTGTAATAATTAAATTAAAAAAAGAAGAAGAAGAAGAAATGATTTACAGATATTAGAAGACTAAGGGCTGGTTTGGGGTACACTATATAATCCATCTTTTTATCTTTTTTTCATCACATCACCTCTCTACTTTTCTGCACATCTTTTCGTAAAAAGACAAAAAGTGCACTTTTTTAGGACACCCCAAACCAACCCTAAATACTGTATTTGCAATTAAAACTATCAATATGAGATTAGGGGTTGGTAAGAGTGAAAGGAGTTTGCTTTGTTTATGGATATCAGTTGAATTTACTTTTTAGTCCTTATAAATGTTAGGTATATTCAATAATATTGTGATTTTTTAAAAATCAAAACTGTGACAAAATCTGTACTTTAAAAGTTATATGTTTTATATATATGTCATGTAATTGTCTATTGTCAGTGTTGTGGTGTGAGCTTGAGTGTGACACGTAAAAAAGAAAAGAAAAATAGAGATAAGGTTGATCATGTCTACTTTCATAAACCATTGAAAGTGAAATTTGTGTACCAAGAAAAACTTTAGATGTACATGTTTACATGTTTGTATGATTGTGACCTTTCTTTGCTTTTACCTAGAGGTCTTTTGTCAATAAAAAAAAAACTAAAAGAATTATTTTTAGGAAAATAATTCGTAAATAAAATTTTTATATATAAAATTAATACAAATTAATGTGATAGTTATATTTTACAATATTACGTCATAATAATAATGATGTTTTGATCGAAATAAATATTAAAAAAAATTAAATATGCCACATTATTTTATATAATTTGTTTTACAAAAATTGTATAATATTAGTATTTTATAATGTTATACTATGGGTTGGTTTGGCAAGGGCTCATTGGGCTTTTTTGGCTCAATGAGCCATAAAACACAGAATAGGCTTATGAGTCACAACAGACAAAATATCCCATCTAATCCCATAATCATTACACTCTTCTCTCACAAAAAAATTAAAAAAGCCAAAAAGCCAAAAGTCCTTCCCAAACTAAGCTTTTGAGCCCAGGCTCATATAGTCAAAAAAGCCAAAAAGCCAACCCACTTCCCAAACGGAGGCTATGGCACAATCCTTCTCTCGAATAATTTTTTAGTAATTATCGAATATTATGTGATAGCCATAAAACACAGAATAGGCTCATGAGCCACAACAGACAAAACATCCCATCTAACCCCATAATCATTACACTCTTCTCTCACAAAAAAAACAAAAAAGCCAAAAAGCCAAAAGTCCTTCCCAAACTAAGCTTTTGAGCCTAGGCTCATATAGTCAAAAAAGTCAAAAAGCCAACCCACTTCCCAAACGGAGGCTATGGCACAATCCTTCTCTCAAATAATTTTTTAGTAATTATC